GGGGGGGGACAAACATATTCCCTCAGGTTATCTAGTCATGAGGGATTGGCTAGGTGATACGCATAGCGTCACGTGCGCGGAATTCGCACTAGTGCCAAATTGATTGAAGTGGAAGTGCTAATGTGTCCCGTCAAGTGGGCAGTGTATGCGATTGTGGGCGTGGATCCTCGGACCGATACCTCATGCATTCGTCTTTCACTTGCGCGAGCGGTCGCGTCGCGGTTAGAAATGTGGTGAAACTGAACCGGAATCAAGTAACGAAAGCCATCAGATGGTCAGTAGTGAACTGCTTCACCTGATTCAATATCTGTGATGCATGCATCGCTTGCATACGCAGTAGCGAAAGGGCTGCTTGTCTTTCGTTCGATACGTATTGTATATGACTTTGGGCATTTTCTATTTTCTTATTTTTCACTGGAACTCAGAGTTTGCCAAATTCCTTATGCCGCGGATCAAAGGTTTCTTATCGGCGGAGATAGGCAGGCACCTCATAGGTGAGCTGCTGCTCTTAATCACCTTAGAAGGGATGCTCTCATGAGAAAGGAGCCTCTGTTTCCACCCATTCCGTTAAGGAATTGCTGAGCTAACTAGTCTTTTATAATAGACGAATTTGCATAGCCTTTATAGCGAGCAATTCCCGAATTTTTTATTGACTTTAAATTGAACTTGATTTTTTTTGTTTTTTTGCACTCTGAGAATAATTTATTTTCAGCGATTACCCGTCGCAAGTTGGCGCTGGAACCACGCGAAATAATGGCTGCTGTTCATCAAATGGATCTGAATACACTGTCAGCTGACAAAGTAGACATTTTGTCAAGAATCCTACCCAACGATGAGGAGCGAAAACTGTATGCGGAACGAGGAGATGACGAGGGGCTCAGTGATGAGGTATGTAGCTTTCATGATGGAACGGGTGTTACCACTGAGTGGCGTTTCTTGGTGAATGGCTGTGGTCTTCTTCTACCTGGGTTAGGAACTCAAATCACGGCTGGGTCAACGTCATAAGTGGCATTGCGCGCGCGGCATTTGCACCAGGACCAAGGCACGTATGTTGGGGAATTCCCGTTAAGGAAGGGTCGCATCTGGTCGCTGGGCAGAGAGGGCTAGTTCGCCTTTGAAAAAGGGTGTTTCCAGTCAGTTATTTTTCGATTTCCCCCTTCACATGCGCTCTATGTGTGTCCCGCCTCCCGTTTCGACGGCAGTTTTTCTTTTTTGTGGGAGGGGAGGGACGTGAAGGGGGAGGGTGCCCTGGTAGAGTTGTAGACGTGCTGAAAATTCAGGATGATTATAGGTATACCATGGACAAGAGGGGAGGGGGTCATCCCAAAGGAGGAAATTTGGGGCAGGTCGTATTTTGCAACGATTTTTCCCTAAGGGCAAGACGTGCTCTGACCAAGATAATGTATCTCGCGGACTGGGGTTATAATAGCCGAGTTAGCAGCTAGTCAATGCAGCGCGCGGACCGACTAGTTTCTGCTTGTTGCCACAAATCGGATCTCTTGCCACTGACTCCCCTACGTTTATGTCCTATCTTTGACCAAACCAACGGTTCGAGTGCTTCAAAGCGGCTGTATTTTCACCATATTAATGAGTAATGTACAGGACCGATTCATGGCAGCGTTGTGTGAAATCGAACGTCTCGAGCATAAACTGAGTGTGATGCGTGTTATGGCCGACTTCGATGAGAGTGTCGCCTTACTGGAACCGGTTGGTCCCACTATTTTTTTTGAGTTGAAATATTCATATTCAAATAATATTCGATAGCATTTCTTGTCAGCAGCTAAAAAATAATATTGCTCATTTTTTATTGTACCAAAATCAGCTCGTTCAGCAATTCACTCATGTAACAGCGGCATCGAAGTGCGCTCGTGAAGCCACAATGTTCCATCGAGTACTGGAAGTGATTCTGGCCTTCGGTAACTACATGAATAGTTGCCGTAAAGGAAGTGTGTATGGATTCCGTTTGAGCAGTTTGGACTCGGTAAGATTTGCGTCATTCTGGTACAAATTAGCTGATCCTATATTTCCCGTTCTATTAGTGTTCTAATGGCAATATATTTTTGCAGTTGGCTATAATGAAATCGCCGTCGGATCGCTCTTTAACACTTCTGCACATGGTTGTGGAGTCGATAGAGCGATCATTCCCGGAGTTGATGAAATTTGCTGATCAGCTCAAGTTCGTCGACAAGGCATCTGGTGGTGAGTACTTGATTTACATCGTGTCCTTCCCAAGGAAACTCTTGACCTGGGTGGTTGTTTTCTGTAGGCGAGACCTGTAAATATAATTCGTCACGTTAGAAAGGGCCCTCAAACCAAGGATATTTTGTGTTGCGACAGACTTAAAGGCACGGTCCGCGATCAGGTATCGAAGTTGAAAATATGGCGTCAGGAGGTTAGAGTGGTCCGCGACGAACAACCTTGTACCGGTTTCGCGGCAAAAAATTCTATGGGAGGGGCGCTGTAGCGCAATATAGGTTCAGTGGCTCCTCCTTTTTTCCAGTGACTCCGCCTCCAGACTCCGCCCCTAATGACCGACTTCCAGTGAAAAATGAGATTGCAGGACGAAAAAGCATGATAATCGCCACTTGTACGATCGTAGAAATCTTATCGGTGAATCAGCCGTGCATATGAGGGCGTAGTTTTGGAGATAGAGTTGATTGGGCACGTACAAACTGGGATCGAAATGGGGTTCTATCTAGGGCAGGTGGCATGTTTTTTGTTCACAGTCGAGTTACTCAACCCCTTGTCGTCTATATGGAACCCCCTAATCCACCATCTGAGATGGCGAGTAATCGCGGGTTCTTCCTTTAAAGGCAGCCTCAGTTGAAATTAGCCTGCCGGTCGTTTTCCTAAGAAGTTATCGTTTGTTTGAGTTAATGGGCCCTAATGTACGCTGCTCCTCTTAATTACCTTCCATAGAAAGGCATAGTTCTTGATTGACTCAGGTCAAGCTACCGGGGAAAGGGGTAGAACTGACACAGCAATCCTACCCAGTGTACAGCATCGTAGTGTGGACCCCACAGGGGGTCGATTTTTCCGCTGGGGGGGGGGGTGTTGGTCATTGCTGAGAGGGGGGGGCGGTCGCTATGGTGCGTTTGGTGCGTTTGAGAGAAATCTGCTGCGTTGGGAAAAAATTTTTCCCGGTTGTTGACTTTTTATGACTTTCCTATTTCAAGTTACTATATACCCCCCCCCGCTCGACGGAAAATCTTGGATGAAAACTGGGAAATGTGGGAAATTGGTAGATAGGTGCAGGGGAAAGGGGGGGGGGGTCGTCCCGAGACCCTCATTTAGGTGAGGGGATCGTTTCCCACATCACCAACACCACCATTCCACACATCACTGACTACATCTAGATCTACATCTAGGTGGGTATCAGTAGACATCATTCGTCCTTTCTGTTCATTTTGGGATTTTTAGCGCTATCCAAAACGCTTCCAAAGTTTTGCGCGCAGAAGTCTGTGGTTCTCGCATCAAAATCCTAACCGTCACCTCAAACTCCACGCCTCCATGGCACTGAACCCGATGACTACCCAGGGGGTCTCTGGCCTAGATCGCCTTAGACCATCTAGGTGCTCCTTTACCCTGGAGCACAGGGGTCGTCCAGTCTCCCCGATGTACTCATCCCCACAACTCGTGCATGACATCAGGTAGATCACACCTGAGGCCATGCAGTCCCCCTCCCGCCCAGAAGGACATGTGACACAATGTGGGGTTGGGCAGTAGCGATCATACCCGCGGTTGCGGATCAGCTGCTGCTTGAGGCTCGCAGGAGGGATCTCGACCACCCGAACCATATTGTCGAGACCACACCTGCGCAAAGACGATCTTACAGCAGCGCTGATCGCATCACTTACGAAGGGTAGGCAAAGTAAACTGTATGATGAAACTGAGTGACGGATCTTTTCAGTGCAATGGGATAGCGTGCTATCGGATATGAAAGAACTAGGAAGCAGGTTTTGAAACAGGCTAGAAAGGAACGAGCGCTCAAACGTGAGAATTGTCCTGCGGCTCTTGCTGAGTTCCTGAAAACGCATGATGAACGTATGACTCAGTTACAAGAACATGCTAAGCTTGCTGTGGTGAGTTCCCTTCTACTTTCGTTACTCTTCTATCCAATTAAGATTTAGTTCATAACGTTATGGTATTCTTTTCAGAAGACATACGAGTCCTGTATCGAGTTCTACGGTGAATCGGCTCGCACAATGCCACCAAACGATTTCTTTGCGCGGTTGGGCAAGTTCATCGCTAATTTCCATCGCTGCAAGCAAGAGAACGACGCTCGGAATGCGGCTGAAAAGGTGATTTGTTTTGGCCGTTCTATGGAGAAGTACGAAATTCTTTCTTAGACTTCACATACGCTCTGTATGCCACGCTGAGAGGAGTCGTAATTACGGACTCAGTCTCGCGCTGCGACGATGATATCCAAAACTTCCCCTCCTTCCTGGTATTATTCGATTTCATCAAGCTTCACTTTCATGAGTTGCGGGTTATTAGCTTTCAAATGCAAACAGCGACTCTTCAGGCTGGCGATAATTACAAATTTTTCAAGGCCGCTGCTGCGCGCACTACTAAGTCCGCAATTACGACCCATCTATCTCCTAGATTTAGAGTATAGCAGTATGTCTCCTGACCCGCCGAAGGCGCATTCTGCGCTGGCCGTGTGGGCGAGCGTGGGCCTACATTTGTTACTTCTTAATTGTTCCTACTTTTTAGAACGGTAAAAAGGAGAGACAGCAAATGAGCAAGGCGCTGTGGCAGACCCGTTCCGCTCAGCCAATTGCGGGTCGTCTGTTCGAGCGAAAGTGATCTAGTTATCCGAGCAGCTTCTTATTTGGAGGTTTAAGGGGCCTCCTATTTGTGCCCGTCTCAAACCCTATTCATTATAGTGGGGAATTTGGGGCCCTTTTGTGGCGTAGAGGGGACATTCTGCTAGTCTAATTCATTTAGATTTCTCACCTTGGTGAGACTGTGAACTTTTGTGAAGCTGCGAAAGGGAAGTGTCTGGCCTTCTGATTGATCTGTTGACCCGTTGCGGCGAAAAGGGTTATGGATTTCGTGACAGACAGACAGACGAGATACATAGAGAGATAGATAGATAGATAGATAGATAGATAGATAGATAGATAGATAGATAGATAGATAGATAGATAGATAGATAGATAGATAGATAGAGGATGATACGCATTTAGCAGATATACAAAAGGGTTATGACTTCTGGACCTATTTTCCACGATTTCAGCGACAGCGCGATGAGGCAGAGCGGAGATCGCGTGTCATGACGAAATCGCAACAACAGGACGGAATTATCCGCGAACTGACAGAACGTGTTGGCAACGGAAACGTCGCGAAGCGACAGCGCGGTAAAATCGACAGTCAACAGATTGGTCATGGCGATTTCGAGAAGTTGATGAGTGGTTCGTTATTAGTACGAGGGTTCGATTGCTTATTTATTCAAAGTTTGCTTATTTACCCTTCTATTCAGGCCTCAAACAGACGTATGCGGTTTCGCCGTCACCCTCCGTTCCCACGCGTGTAGCAGCAAAACCCGTGTGGTGGCGTGGATCGCGATAGGCAATGAGAAGAGTCGATTCGGCTATATAGGGTCTTTTTGCGGTCGCTATTCCTTCAGTACATAATGTTACCTGATGTAAATCTCTTTGTTCTGCTCCACTACAGGATTGTAATAACAGTAGTCATCCAGAATTTGATCGAGTCAGTTCTCTTCATACTCCCTTAATCCCCGCCTATCTACGGGTCGCCTAGCGAATCATGCATCAGATTTGTATTTAAGGATTCTGTGGTTTAGGGCGACTTTTATTTGTCTTTATATTTTTTTAATATAGAGATTGCATTCCCGGTACTACTGCGGCTATACATATTGAATTATGGGCTACGGTAGCCTCTGAAGTTTTAGCTGATTTTATTAATATTTAATTTTTTTCTTACCAGGCAAAGAAGTGTGTTGAAGTAGTCAATTCATTGTCGTTGTGGTGCCCAGAAAGTATCGCCCTATGATGTGATGTGATATTGAAAGCATTTCGTTTCCTTGGAAAATAACACTACAGCTCCTCCCCTCACGCTACGTGAAGCATTTCAATCAATTCCTATGTTTTCTGTGCGTATCTGTAGTTGTTATCGTCTATCCGTCGTATGTTAGTGGTCTTTGCCTGTATCTCTTTATCTCTTCGAAATGCGCAGTCTTTTTAGACCTCTTGTCATTAACTTGTTAATGAGATTATAATAGAGTTATTTAACTCGAATTTCGTTTAATAAATTGAAGTATTAAACTTTCTGAAGTATTTTGACAAGTACTTTAGTACTTTATACCTGAGTTTTACATAGAAGTGACTCGATAAAGTTTAAGTTTAATGGACAACAGGGGTTGGGGGCGGGGGATTCCTATTATACCGCTGTTGGAGGGGTGGTTTCATGCGTGCAGTACACCCCTCTCCCGCTCACTCCAACCCCACGTCGGCAGGATCGTACTCGTAAGGAGGCATACGGTCATACTACCCCCCCCCCTCACAACGACATACCTGTCATCTGTTCGTACCCCTTTGCGGTGCGGCAGGACTATCCCTGATACCTGCCCCCCCCCCAGTGGACGCTACATTTTGATAAGGCTGGTTCATGTAGAGAAATGGTTGCTAGAAGGAAAAGGTGACCGTAGGGCCATACTGCTTCCCTCATTTAGGAAGGGGGGGGGGTGTACTGACGGTCAGCTAGTAACACCGCAACTTCACATAGCGCAACGATGTACATTGGTGGCAAAGGTCCAAGAGAAGGGTTCTGCTGTGCGTTTAGGGGTGCGCTGTGCATTTGACCTCTGTTGGGGAGCGTAGAAACATGATTCTGTGAAGGACTCATACAATAGCCTATGGAGCTGGGCCGATGTAAGCTGAGGGTTCCTACGATCCCTGACGAATTTCTTGCGAATGAGTGTGAAGCTCCACTTCCCAGTCGCGACGAAATAGGTGTTTCAAGGGGAGAGGGGAGTGGTGTAGGCAGCGTCCGCACCAGGATCCAACCCACCCAGTATGACTGTGGTGCTGTGTGTTTACTCTTTCTCCCGGGTGAACTCGTCCCGCAATCCCGTGACTCGGAAGTAGTGCTCCACACTCGTTGTGTATAGTGTTTCGGAATGCGCCAGACATTCGAACATCATTCAATCAGCCGGGAGTTTTTGAATGCACGTCAGGCCTCGAAAATTGAGTGTAGGATTGGTCGAAGCTGAAGTCTAATACTGTAAACAGCGAAATTCAAGGTGGTAGGACTGCCGCAGCAAGATTACAGTTGAGTACTGGTAAACACAGGGAAACTGGCTCTCGAAAACCACTGTAAAAGCCATACGTGGAGGAGTAAGGAGCAAATGTAGAGGGGGTCCTGTATGTCTGCAAAGGAGGTCTACAAGAAGTAAAGAGCTGAAAGGGAACGATTTTTAACCGAAGAATGCAAGGGTTTTGCGCGTGGTTGCAACGTTGGACAAACGTCAAGATTTGTGTACTCAGGATAAAATTGCTGAAGAGTGTGTTTACAATGACGCGGGAGCCTTATCAGATGAATTTCCTAGGTTATGTTAACTGAAGAGTGGAATCGCTCCTACTGCCGCTTCTGGGTAGTCTCGATGGTCGGAGTGTGGTTAGGACAATTAGCCCTTCTTGTGACAGCTAATGACCTGGTATGATTTCGTACTTCTGGTAGAGACGCTGGGTTGTCTTGAGTTGCGTTCAGTTGCTATAAGAGTTTTAGCCGCTTGGAGGCGATCTTGCCCGACGGCTAGCGTGATGCTAATGAAGGTGATTTAAAACTATTTGAATGAAGATCATCGCAATGGATACTTCCAACTGCCATAGTGATAGACTGAGCTATTCCTTCTTTCTTCCTGTACTCGTTTTGATTAGAAGTTTATGATTCTATATAGATCTACCGACCGAACGAGTCTAAATCGTGGTTTGCAGGTATTCTACTCACATAAGCATCCAAGGCTGTCATTTTTCTCCATTACCTGCCTGCGATTCGACATGAAATAGCAATCAAGTGTAGCAAAAACAAGCAGTGCTTCTGTGGGTGAGTTTTACTGCAATGTTTGAAGACGTTGTTCTGAGTTTCAGCAGGGTAATGATGTGAATGCTTATTGGAATTAGTCTTTGACGAAACTCAGAAGAAGTAAGAAGAAGCTTGGAAAGGCATAGAAAACAGTTTCTGCAACTTTCACAAGGTTTTAGGCGTCTGAAGGGGTAAAAGGAATGGCGATGTTCAGAAGAGTTATGAAGTTGTATTCGTGGAAGTGTTTTTGATTTGGTCGTTGTATGAGGAGTACTTTTGTACTTCCCGGTGCCATCGAGTAGAGATTTTATCAAGCAGAATATTAATGGCTTTTAGCTATAGTCCCACCGGCGACGTCCAGGGTAGTGCTATACAGTAATTTGCCTTCGGCCAGGGATGTATTCCCTTACTTCCGAGACGCGGCTAAGGCAGCATTCAGGCTTCGCGATCACGCCGCTGGTGATATGCCGGTCTGTGTTGGCGGACTGATCGATTGCGGCTCCCCAATGCGAATATGACGGAGTGCTCAGCTTACCATTTTCGGTTACTTTTTGCTTCTTTCCTCCCGCTTGCTTCTCGATTTGTTTCCTCCTCCTCTTGGCACTATTCTTTCTAATCTGCTTCTATTTTTTCAATTCTTATGCTTTTACCTTTGATTACGTGAAAATTTTCAGATGCATTGAAATTTTTTGGATGGACGGCCGTTCTACGCACAGCTTTTCTTGTTTTCGAGATGGGTTATTCAGGTTCCCTGCAGTTGGGTTTCTTTTTATTCTCATCTCAGTGATCTTGTGTTTAGGTTGGTCGGCGTTAGAGTTGGTAGAAATTCACGATGCACGTAAGTAGTTTCTCTTTGTTCTTATTTTTCGTACTTGTGTTGTTAGGGAATCATAGTATACTTAAACATACAAAGACAACACACATAGAAAATAGAAGCAAAGAAAACTGATTTGGTAAGGTGATGGTTTCTATGAACTCTGAATTGCCGACCAGCTAACGCTAATGGATTGATGACTGTTCGAAACAAGAATTGTGGCGCAGAACGGCCGCTCATCCATAAAAGGTTAATGGCATCTGGGATTTCCATAAGCCAAGTAAAAGATAATAATGTCAACAATAGAAACAGTCTAGAAATAATAGTGAGAGGAGGTAAGCCAAGATAAGAGAAGCAAGCGGGAGGAGAGAAGAACAAAAGTAACCGAAAATGGCTGTAAATTAGCATCCGTTCAGTTGATTTTTGCATTGGAGCTCGATTGAATCAGTCGCGCCACACAGCCGGTCGCTACTACTAGCGACGCGATCGCGAAGTCTGAACGCTGCCTAACGGATGATGCGAGCGGCATCTGCGTTAGGATACAGTCCACTCAATGTGGCAGTACCGCAGCGTGTCGACTCTCATAGTGTCACTTGTCAACTAGTTAGGGGAACGTGCGATACCACGACTCATACTAATGGCATACACCTTTGGCTGCCGCTGCTCCTCCGCTAGTTTTACGGAAGCGAAGCAGCGCAAAGGATCTGACCCTGTTCTGCTGTTTAGCAGATTCCGAAACTCGAAGGAAGTCACAATGTCCTTGACGTTCGTCGGTTTTCGAAGAGACATGAAATTGTCTGTAATTACAGACAAGCCGTTTGTCATTATGACTGAGCAGTCGAGAAAGAAAATGACGTGATTGATTAATACTCATTATTGGAGTAAAAAGAGATCGTCATCTCGACACACATTTTTGCGTGGGCATAATTACATGGTGCCAAAATTTCCGACTGATCCAAGGGTGAAAAGGGTAACCATCTTTGAGACGTATCGTCCATTCATACTAGTAAGTCTTAAATTGTGCACCATTTGGCGTTGTAGTTTCGCCCGATATTCTTTATATCATGGGTTCAACGTTAATCAACGTATTTTTGGAGTGGGCCATGCATTCTGCCTCTATTCGGAATAGTAATGACGCTCGAACTGCATTATGGCCGTTAGAATGACCTGCACGTATGAATCACTTTTTGGTCCTCGCAGATAATTCTGGTGCTAATTACCCGACTTCAAAAGTAGCGCGCTCTTGGTATGTGGGCTTTTTTGGGTTGGATAGCAGTCCGAATGGGTGTAACTGATATCGTCGCACCCCTTCGGGAAGTGCCAGGAGGCGTGTAATGAGCCTACCCGAAT